GTGTGTGTGTGTGTGTGTGTGTGTGTGTGTGTGTGTGTGTGTGTGTGTGTGTGTGTGTGTGTGTGTGTGTGTGTGTGTGTGTGTGTGTGTGTGTGCGTGCGTGCGTGTGTGCGTATGTCTCCGTGTAATGGGAAATTTATATATCATACCATAAATAATACAAGGCTCTATCTAACATACCTAATGTTTAATGATTTTTCACATACACTAATTCTATTCCATTGGATAAATTAGTCAGCAATGTACATACCAGCCAAATCCAAGGTCGTCAGCAGGGACAACGATAACCCTCCCATCAGGAAGTTCCTGAATTTCACGACACAGCACAACCTTCAACCCTAACATCCTTTTACCGGGAGTTGAACCACCAGACGAAGTAAGCCCTCTTTGCAGAAATATAGTCTAAAAGCATTGATGAAGATAAGATTAGCAACAATGACACAATGTATTGCAAACGTGGGCATATACAGTAATAGCAGCAACTCGCACAGGCAAGCAATTCCTATACCCTGTGTGTAAACAGTGACGGCACCACAGCCACCTTGTATATAGAAGACACTACCATTCGACGTTCAACAGCTTGAGAATTTGACACATTTAAAGCAAACTCAGTAGTGCCACAAGTGCTACTTACCTCATACACTAGACATGACAGTCGATATATAAGCTCCAAAATCATCAGGTCCTGAGTGAAGCGTAGTGCTGTTTCAAAGTTGTCTGAATCAGTCAAGTCTGCCCACTCATACTCTGTCAGCTGTCTGTAAACATATACAGAATATCTGATGATAACAGTGGTTGCGACAAAACATCATAAACACATACAATTACTTTTCAGGTAGATCAAAAGATCCTACGCACAATACTTGTCAGGGCTTATTGTCATGTAACTATGATAAGACCAGTAAGACTATGAAGAAAGCAATAACCAACCAGAACGTTCTTTTTTAATCACTAGTATGATGGTGTATTTACACTACTGGCTTTTAGTCAGAAAGTTAGAAAGTTAATAAATGGCTTAACTTCTCCAAACTTGTTTGCATATATATCAGGAGTGTATAATAGGGAGGAGTGTGACATCAATAAACAAGGGAAATTCGTCATTTACTAGCCTTATAATACCTACGATTTACTACGCGTAACTCATCCAACTTGAGCTCAAATCGGACACAGTACATTCGCCCATCATCGTACCAAATCGTTTCCTCGTAGACACCCGCAATCCGAAGATACAGCCTAAAACCTACGACACGATTCTCCATATTCTTTGGCCAATAATCCACCGCATAGCGCGCCTATAATTCAAACAAAAGGCAGCTACTAACCACACTGTCCACGGCTTGCGCTCACGGCGAGGCGCTGTGGCTCGCAGGGAGATTTCAATCCGATCTGCTGCTGATAGCGATTGGCGTGCGTGCGTGGTATGGGGGCATGCCAGCTGTATTGCCGGCATGCCGGTATGACATAAGGCATACATTGTAGCTGTGTACCGGGTCAAAGGTTATCTCGCCGAGTGTTGCGTTGATGCCTAATCCCCCTGCGAGCCACAGTGCCTCGCCGTGAGCGCAAGCCGTGGACAGTGTGGTTAGTAGCTGCCTTTTGTTTGAATTATAGGCGCGCTCTACGGTTGATTAATGGCCAAAGATTGGAGAATCGTGTCGTATGTTTTAGGCTGTATCTTCGGATTGCGGGTGTCTACGAGGAAAGGATTTCGCACGATGGTAGGCGAATGTACTGTGTACGATTTGAGCTCAAGTTGGATGAGTTACGCGTAGTAAATCGTAGGTATTATAAGGCTAGTAAATGACGAATTTCCCTTGTTTATTGATGTCACACTCCTCCCTATTATACACTCCTGATATATATGCTTTGCAGTGTGGTGTTATAAACCAGCATATAAATCATGGTCAGAACATACCACTTGCACATTTCTGCTTGGTTTAATGTGCAAAAGTAGAACAGCTCATTGACCAAAAATTGAGAAATCAGAACATTGTATTTTCCCAACTTATTGTAGGTGACTAATTGATCAACGTTACACACTCACACTATTGGTTTATTGTAAAAATGCTAAAGACCTTAGAATTGATTCAGATCCTTGGGAATAGAGATAATATCCCTTTGCATTTTCCTTTGTTTTAGAGTTTAGGCAATGCTCTATCGTCTCACATTTAAACCATTCATGGTCCGATAAGTGGGACAATAAAAACAGTGTGAGTAAGACATGGAACCGTGCAGACATGTAGAATGAACCATGTAACACATAAAAATGTAATAGTACTTAATTCAGTAAATATGGTTCACACACAACAATATTTTCATCTATCATATAAGGCCACATTGAAGACCTCCATGGAAAAAAGCAGAGCAGGGTGACAGAGAAATCAGATGAGCAGGAACATGCAAGTGTCCACATGTGAGTGGGCACGCATGTGCACACATGCGTATGCAGGTGTGTGTGCTTGTTTATGTGTGCTTGTGTGGGCGTGTGTGTGCATGTGCATGTCCATACATGTGCTTGTGTGCATGTCTGCTATGTGAGTGTGGCCTTCCATGTGTGGGATCATACTATGTAACATATGGGTGCTGGTTGGTAACTCAAAGAAATTAGGTGTTTCAGAGTCAAATGACTGTTGTTGTATATTACGGCTTTACATGATTGCACGTACATTAGATCAAACTCCTCGGCTGCTATGAGCGTCAAGATGACCTTGAGGACGAACAAAATCAAGAAATCGATTGTCTCTGCGCAGAAACGTTTCCACACGTGAGGTATCCTGTATTGTCGCCCTGTAGAAAACAAGAACACATTAAATCGCTTGCACATTAAAATATTGTTTTACAATTCACATGTACATTCATACAGGTGGAGTGTTTGAAAACCACACAACGAATGTAGCTACCAACGTAAAATGAATAATAAAAATGGTAATGTACTAATGATAAGATTGTCATTGGCATTGCATATATGCATGGTCATTTGTCGAGCATGTGTGCAAAAAAGTGCAGCACGGAAACTTCTGCTAGACTACACCAAGTGGCGGTGACCCGTCTGACAGTTGCCATGCACTTACACAAAACACCTCACACTTTAATTTACAAACCTGGACGTTGAGCTGCTGCGCTAGTTGTGGCTGTGTAAGCCGCTTCTGCACGAAGTCCTGGTGCATGTGGCTGTCCCACACCTAGCGGGAATGGAAGCAGCAGTCCTGCAAGCGGCAATCCCTGGTAGTGTTGCTGAACAACGTTACCATGCGAATCTCTGGTCTCTTCATATAAACCAACGTTGGAGGCTAGTCCTTGTGGAGGTGACGGTGGCATGCCAAAAGGGAACATAGTGTAAAACTTCCATATGTGACATTGCCACATCCACTGCCGTACGGCCACGGCATAGTCGTTAGCGGATTTGTAGTCAACGGTTTCTTGACGGCCACGAAACCATTGCGTGAACTGCACACTAGACGTTTGCTCATTAGTCATTTTGTTGCGTCACTTTTATCTCAGAATAATGCTCTGATTAATATAAAAAGCGTTAACTTTCCAGCAAAGTACTTTCGCTTTTACTCAGTCGCCATTTGTTTGATTATTGTCAAGGAACAGAGGGCGCTGCCGTTTCGCGCATGATACTAGCGCCGACTACCGGTCGGTAATGGTTGAAGTCTATGTTGCTCTGCTACATAGTACATTGATAAACAGTACTTTGTTTGTGTGTAACAGTGTATTATTACTAGTAACTTAGTAAGTACGTTTTGTGTGAGTAGTTACAAGTTACAACTTTGCCTAATAGTAATATATATAATATGGGTTACTTGTCGTAGGTGAATCACAAAATTCGCCTTTTTTTACTAATGTTAGTTGGCAATCTCGTTCAGTGTCAGACTCGGTGTCAGTGAGGCTGAGAGGGTCTATATGAGTCGAAATATCCTAATGCGTAATTTAGCACCCGTTTTATTCCCCTGGGGAATTATAATATTTATTCCTCATGGAATTGTCTGGGATTGTCTGTCATTACACATTAGATCATAGAGAAACAGCATGCACAGTTTGAGTTTGTTCTCCCTACCACTTTTCTAGTAATTATAGGATGAAGTTCAGAAGGAGCCATGCATGTTTGCAGAGTGAGTTTGTAACATGTCATGACACCTTTTAAAGAACTATATATTTACTGCACAGCTGCTGAAATTTCCCCATAAATGTTTTATGGTACAGCACATCATGTAAGCATCTCTCAGTAAATGTAATAAAACATTTCACAAAACGTCTCTACCTTCTTCAAATTTTGATTTTAAACCATCTGTTCCGGACGTTAGGTTGTCTGTCAAACAGGTGACATAAAATGTGGTTGGCCTTAGAGGATACCGACATGTCTAAACTCACGTTTGAAAACATCAGTTGATTGATTGATTATTAAATAGCAGTTTACTTTTGCTAACACAGACATCTGGGTTGGTTTCCTGAAAATAAATTAGCTTGAAACAAAACACCACTTTGTCTGTAAAAACAATAACGTCCGCAACGTCCTAACATGCGAACAAGCTGTCTACCTTGTGAAAAACAATTTTTGTATGTTTCTAGTTCGGAAGTTGACATTACATGTTTGGATTATGATTAACTGATGTTTATACCAGTTGAGTTGGGAAGTTTGAAATAGAAATAAAGAATTTCATTTTTTCACATCCGTGTTACAAAAAATTACTCATTAGCATATTTCGACTCATATATGCCCCCAGGGTACTGCCGGAACGTACCCTGGTACTATCTAATATGCCGGACCGTACCTCGCCTACTCCACTAACGAGTCTAGGGAGTTGCCTACGCCTACTCCCTAACCCTAACCACATCAGATAGTTACCTCAGGTACATATATGTCACCTACGCCTACGCCTACTCCCTAACCCTAACCACATCAGATAGTTGCCACTACCAGGGTACCGGTACGTTCTGGTATACCGGACCGTACCCAGGGGAAAGTTCCGGCAGTACCCTGGGGGACATAGACCCTATGAGCGTCAGTGAGTGACAGTGTAGGATGGCAGCCTTTTGACAGTGTCAGTGACAGTGACTGTTGATAAACTCGGCTCCGAGAAACGTCACATCACGGCCGTTTTCAAACACTTGCAGTTTGCTCAGATTCCCAACATAAACTTGTGCCGATAACATATTTTCTACTGGATAGGTGTCAGGCTGTGTGTATTACCGTAAACCATTATCTTTATTACAGCTAATTCTAAAACCTTGTTCTTGCCGAAAATGTCAATGTGAACAAAATAACCAGATTGCAACTGCACTTTGATCGGAATATGGGCAATCCAAATCGATGCTAGTTAAATACTTGAAACCGAAATGCTAGTCGCACGGTGACGCCATGTGTTTGCCTCGGCTTAAAATTCACCGTCAGTCGATCCCCTGATTTTAGTTGAACTGAGTTAAGCACATGTGATGTCGATTGAGTTGTTTACACTCACTCCATCTCAGAAAATAGCATAAAAACCAAACGCCAAAACACTGCAGCAACATCAACCAACCCTAGTTTAACGTCATAGCAGCAACTGGACTTGGCCACGGCGCAGGCGATAACGACTGGCATTATATCAAAGCATTTGTCTATCGAGACTACTAAATAGTGTACATTTCAAGTTTGTAAATTCAGGACTATTGAATGTTACATGGGCTTAATTACCATTTATTTCAATGTTCTGTGCTCAGGATAGTCATAAGTGTTCTTTTAGCTGGACAGCCTTGTACAATAAATGCCCCAGATTTTATAAAACCAAATATCCCTAAACGTAAAATGGTCTGTTTGACAGATGCCATTGCGATCTGTAGACAGCTGAGCAGCTCAGTTTCATTACAACATGTTTTTGTCACATGTTGATGGAAAATTTTTTACAGTTGTGATTAGCTGTTTGTGAAGTGGCATGCAACTATGTTGGTGGAAGTTAGAAACTATTCTCTAGACGTTAATGCACCCATGTGCAACAGCTGATTGGAAACAAGAGTTTCTTTTTTTCTTTAATGTCGGAAAGCATTATGGTTGGTTGTTGTCACTCTAGTGTGTCTTGACCTTTACTCAGTATTCAAGCAGTGCCTATAACATGCAGATATAAGTACTTCGAGCATCCCAGATGGTTATTGGTTAATGGTTCATTTGAACTATTACATGGCATGTAAGTGTGATCCAGTACAGTTTCCTGCATTCTAAGCGACAAGAAACTTTACAGGACAACTTGCTTTATACATTCTAGCACAAAGGAAATTATTAAAAGCTGTCACGTTAGTTCAATTATGTATGCTACGTTCAGACTGTTGTACATGGCCCTTTACTAGGCAGGTCCGACTAGGTCATGTCCCTCCTAAATTTTCTTTAGTGCACACATACATTGTGTGATAACGAACCATGTTATGCAGAGAATGAACAATATTTTAAGTGTTGTTATGCCTGCATTTGTCTGCAGTTTATATTTAAGTGAATCATGACTGTTGTTCTTGTAGCTAGCCATATCACCAGGAACGCATTTCGGGGATAAAGTCGAGGCTTGAAGATGCCTGCTAGAGGTATTGTAACCTTGTCACTTGTGCAATAGTTACTAGTTCGTCTCTTGTGCAATAGTTCTAAATGTAGCCTTTGCAACTATGATGAGTGTGTGGTTTACATACTTATAACTCAACTAGTCACCATATTCAAGCTTATCCACCAGGAATTTTAGAAGGGGCATTCATGTTAGGCAATCTGGCAACTCATCCCCAATAGCAAATTGGAGTCAATTACGCATGTCCCAAGCATAATGTGTCAATACAGCATTTCTGTGCTGGCATTGTTGAAAATAAACACAGCTGGAAATTATGGCATGTCGATTAGGCGAGTAAGGATTTGTGCGGTGTTGCAAATTATCTTCAGCTTTGAAGGCACCTAGGCTCCGACATGTATTAATGGCCTAGGGAGAGCCCTGATATTTTACTTGCCATGTTTACCTTGTACTAATACTCCCAGTTTCCTCACATTTATATAGTTTTTCACTTTTGTAACTAGAAGAAGAACAAGAGGAAGCCAAGGTATACAGCTTGCCCTCAGCAGATGACAAGTTCTTGTCACGTACCACTGATGTCTTTGGCTGCCTTCAAGAACTGGAAGACAAACACAAGCAGGTAGAATCGTCACGGGAAAAAGATGACTCGCTGTTGAAGCCAGAGCCAGAGTTCCCTCAACTAGGAAGCTCCGGGCCGAGTGGATTTCTAAGTCCACATGGCAGGGCACCTAGATCACGAAATGCCCCGGGTTTTAAAAAGGAGCCCAAGAAATGGACTTGCTACTCTTTAGCCGATGTCTCTAACAATGATATGTCAGAAGCTACAAATACGTCAGCTGCACTTGGCTTTCTGGAAGAGCAACGAAAATTAAAGAATCCTGATACTCACACGAAAAGTGAACTAGTTGGAGGACATTCATTTAGTAAGAGAAAACTGACCGAATGTAGTGCAGATTATGGGGACAATGAACCGTCATCTAATATCACATCTGAAGGCTCTGGGAAGATTATCATGCCACAGTGCGTGGTTGGTCGAACCAAGCACCACAAACCCAAACCTGTACCATCAGAAAGTAGAGCTGCATGTGATGCAGTAGGAATAAACTACTTGCAGGAAAGTTTTGAACAACAAGACAAACAAGAGGTAAACTTAGATGCAGAGTCCAAAGCTGGTCTGACCACAAAAACCTCTTCAGATGGTACACTTGAGGAGGTGGCACACATTGAAATGTCTTCCCTTGAAACATCAGTAAACATAAGTGATGTTTCTACGATAGAATGTAAATTAACTGAAGAGCCCACATCTGGTATTGTGTTTAAGCCAACAAAGAAGAAGCAACGGAGTACACGAGCACATGTTGATGGTGAATAGTTATTGATGTGCATTCAATCAAGAGCCAATGATGGGTATCATTAGCTCTTGATTTAATGGAAATAGAGTATCATAGTATAAATGCATATAACCATAAAATAATGATGAGCTAGTATTGTAGAGGTAGACATGAGGTAGAGGTATGTTGAACTAGTTCTCATTGTGTAGTTTTGTCACTTATAAATACGTAGAGACAATATCTTACGCATGCTCTTAAAAGTGACATAAAAAAGAATGGCTCGACACCCATTCTATGATATAATTATGACTGCAAAATATGAAACCAGTGATGTATATATACTGTATTGACGTTACTATATACCACTTTACAGTTAAAATTTAGTTCCGATGGAAGTCAACAAAATTACAAAGTAATAAAGCAATTGCTATGTATATTGTTGTACCTGTATAATATTTTGTTATTACTAATTTAGTTTTTATATAATGTAGCTAGTGAAATTTTAAACAGAAAATGCTGGAGTTTACTGGAAAGGAGAAATTTTGCAGTATGCACATCAGTTACCATATGTGTTCAGGACAAGCTGTAAAAGGAAGCAACCACCATGACCCATGCTCTCTGAGACTGGTAGACTGCTGCAGATTGGGCAGGATGGCTAAACACCTTACAAACTAAACACACACATGTAGTCTGTGCAATGGATTCATTTTCTACAAACCAGAAAGTTCCTGTTGTTGTGGTCAGCACTGAATTATACTTCTATTACAAATTAAAACAAAAATCAGTAAAAAATCAGTAATAAGGTTGAAGTATTTAGTTTGAAAAGAGCTATATTATAAAATAAGATCTATACTATATACAATGCTTTATTTCTTTAATTATAGACAATAGGCTATAATATATAAAACTATAATTTAGCTATTGACAAGCCCATTAATCTTGCACATGTAAAAAACATCTGTCAAATAGGAAAGTTGCAGACATTATATTTCACTTACATTTACTATTATTTACTTTGGTTACCAAGTCATTTCCATACTCTTATATCAGAGTGTATAAATTCTATAGCTTCACTGCAATTATAATTAAGCAATAATATATGTGTCAATTAAGCAATGGTTATTTAAACCCACAGTTAATTGTGAGACTTGCAATAAAAAAATCAATATTAAAGTAGAGGTTATAGTGTGAAAAAATATAATCTAACCCACTGTTTCAACATTTTGGTCAAATCAACAAATTTCTGCCAAATAACTGTCACAGATGTTTCCATACAGTTCAGTTACACCATTAATTCAATCATTGGTTATCAGTATTATTTACAACATATAGCCACAGACTTCTGTAAGGTGTTTTACATGAACAGATGTAACCTTCCACTGGAGTTTCCACCAACAAGCACATTTCTTGTTGGGTGGAAAGCATTGACAGAGCATACTGAACATAGGTACTCTTGATCAGAGAAAGTATTCACTAGCTCCCCCTGGTTGTCAAACACTTCAATCTGAAACAAATGAAGTATAAAACCATTTAAAAAATCCCCACGCCCATGAATAAACTGGATAACTGTAAAGATTTTTAAAAATGTTGAAAGCTATACAATGGGCAGTGGAATGAAGAAGGAAGTAAGCTAGTGAATGTTAGCAATACATAAAATTGTGATAAGACATCTTTCATACACGTAGCACCAAAGTGAAGTAAACAATTGTGATGCAAAACCCAACAGACGATCGACTATTAAGCTGGGTTTACACTATCGATTTTTGTCAGCAAATCGTACCGATTTCAAGTGCAACACAATCACCGTCCAACACAATGGGCTGAAATTCGATTGTGTTGGTGTCGGAGTCGGAGACAAGTCGACGAGTTGGCGAAATAGAACGTGTTCTATTTTGCTCGATTCGGATTCGTGAAATCGGCGAGTTGGATAAATCTAATTGGCTTAAAAACTTTCACGTGATACCTAGTCAAAATGGCGGCGCCCAACAACACGGACAAAACCATGGCATTTATAGATTTATTTGAGAAAAACGAATGTTTGTGGCGCGTTGATTCGCGGCGTAGTAGAAGTAGAAGTAGTAGAGTACAAGAATCGTGATAAGAAGAGGGTAGCGTGTGAGAAGATAGCTCGTGAGCTTGGATAGAGCGGTAAGTTAAGTTAGCGTTAAGAAATTAATCGGTACGATTTGCTGACAAAAATCGATAGTGTAAACAACAGCTCAACACCAACTTCTATTTGGGTCAAGTCGGGGGCAAAGTTGGAGTCGCTTGAAATCGGCACGATTTGCTGACAAAAATCGATAGTGTAAACCCAGCTTTAATAAGACAATCATCTAGTAAAGAATTCACATACCCTTCTCGGACGATCCATGCTACCAACAATGAACATGTCGTCCCGGCTTGGATGCCACACAGCCTGAAATCTTGTTAACCAGCGACCAGTGTAGTTGTTGTGGCTGAAAAGTAGCAAAACAAATGGTTGAGTTACTTTCTAATTATGCCCAATATAGATGAGCAGCACGGCCATAACTGCACCGATTTAGCAGCTGCATGCGCCATTGAAATTATTCTTCCAAAATATAGATTTCTACCATGCTTTATGTACAAACTATATGTAAACATTATGACAGGCAACAGACACATAAAGGATGAGTATCTTCTTCAAACTTTGCAATGAAGGCATTCATTTACCTGATGGAATGTAGAAGTGGTGACTTTTTCTGTGAATCCTCCAAATGTGAAGTGTCATATATTCGGAGTCTGTTATCCAAGCAGGTAGTCAGAATTTGTTTTCCCGTAATTGGTGAATAACATGCAGAGCTAACAGACCTTGGATGAGGAAGGGAGGCGATGCAGTTGGGCTTCTTCCCCATATGACGTAAATCCCATACCTTTGCAAAACTATGAAAGATTCATATTTAAAAAAAATATATGCAGATTTATAACCATGCGTACTAGAAGTAACGATGGCTGGAATATGACTATGACACATTTAAAAATGTAAAACCAATTTACAGCTTTAATACTCTCATAATATTTATTACTTATATAGTTTTGGTAATATGCTACCTTACTACCAATCTACATTGCTCACTTGACAAAACATGACCAGTTGCTTTTCCCTACCATACTAAACTAAGCCAGATATTGCTTTATAGTTTATATATCATACTAAAATTTCGGAGGTATAAGATAATAATTGCATCCTGCATTCGAAGCTCTTTCAAGGTTCCGCTTGCTGCTTAATAGCAATTATGGATGTTCCAAGTCTATTACTGATGGAAAAAAGAGCAAAGCTCGTGAATTAGGAGGCAGACTGGTTATGATTTTAGCTTACAATCTCGATGAGAATAAATAAATAGTTCAACTTAGTTACATGAGAGCAAGCAGTTGGTCATGTATATGTTAGTAATTGGCAGTAAATTAACTTAATCATGTGCATAAAATGACACAATTAAATAATACCCACGACATTTCTATAAATGTTACATTCCTATGTGGAATTACACATTTTGTGGACACAAAGAGATGAATTATTACCCATCCACTGAACATGTTAAGACGTAATGCTTGTCAACTGGATGCACAGAGATAGTCCTCAAGCCCTTGCTGTGTGCTACATAGGTTTTCTCGGCTTTATACCTATGAGATACAAACTATGTGTAGTATTCACAATAAACAAAATACATAGGCAGGCAGGTTTCAAACTGTTTGATGTTACCTCGAAATACAATTATTCGCCACTTACCCTTGTGTTCTGCTATCGACCAAACAAAATTCTCCGGTTCCAAGAGCAACAACAAAGGTATCAGCTGACGAAAAGTCTATATCTCTGCACATTATGTCATCCTCTTCATCAGTGACATATGCCTGGAACATACAAATAAATCACACAACTCACCAAGGGACATGTAAAATTATCAAATCGAATCCTATAATGCTTCATTTGAATAAGAAGTAATCATTTCAGCATAAACTGATTATTTGCAAATAATAAATGCATATACTAATTACATTATTTTAATCCCGTTTGTTGATTTGCCTCTATTTTATGTGAGTACCTCATTAAACACTCCTTTAGCAAGATCAGCATATCTCACTGTTCCATCATAACTTGCAGAATATAGGTGTCCAGTATCTTGAGGATTAAACTTTATTGAGGAGATTGGCCTTGAATGGGGTTCATATAGATGCACACCATTACTGCCTAGACTTGAACCCTACATGTTCAAAATAAATACATTTAGCAACACTGATGCCCATACAGATGTTAAATATTACTATACATGTGTCATGATGTGATTGTGTAGTGATTGCAATTAGATTAGATATGTATGCATACTATTCAATTGTTCCTTCTATATCATATCCAGTCTGTTAGTTCATTTTTAATCTGTATTAGAGCAATACAGTTAATATTGTTATATAATAGTTTATTATAATAATTACAGTAATTTAGTATAAAAAAGCCAAACCCTTACATAAGGGTCACTCCCAAAACCAACCCAAAAAGTGCTTTATATTGTCAAGTATCCATTCTATAAAGGTGGATTCCACCAACGTATCAAAAACGTCCTATAAAGAGAGGGGACTGTTCCATAGAGGAGTTTAATACAATGCCGCCAGCTAACACAGGTGTAACTGTAGTTACTTAATACAGTTTGCAGACATATCATGCCAAATACATTCTATATTGTAATACACATATAAAGAAGCTTTGCATTAATGCTACAATATGTCATATGATATATATGCATAATTTAAATAACTACGTACCTGTATTTGAGCATTCAGAAAAAACCATCATTATAACGACTCTGGGATCAACTGTTATTACTCACATTAAAATTACTTAATCCCGACACATACCACATCCCAGAGGCCAACGTGACCCCACTTGTCTCCAGCACAAACAAGTGTTTGTTGTTCAGATGGATGGATAGCCACTGAGAAGATGCGTGCTGGTACAACTTTGGCTACCCGCTTAGCACTGATTGCCATTGCTTGGAATGATTTCACAACACTGTAACGATCACCAGAAAGTATTGCCTAACATTACATCGATTGACTGATTGCGTAAGAAAAATTATAAATCGTTTCTAAAAAATGCTTGAAATGTAAAAAATGAACTATCAAAAATTAGATAAAAATAATCCAAGTTCCCTGTTTGCACCACCAACATCAAAATAGCGATTAATGGACACTGATCTCTAAGATCACCTTTTCAAACTTGTATATCCGTTGTATTTCCCGATCTCTCCTGAACACAGACCCTTCAACCTGGCAAGTGTCTCTTCACTATTCTCTGAGCTGTCTTTGTTTTTAATATCAGCCATAGTGATTGGTCCTGCTGGTGGACGAGGCTGCAATTATAATATATGCGCAGATAGATCCCTTCCTAGTGTACTGTACTTATGCATGCATGTATACAGGAGCATGCCAAGGATGAATGGGTTCCTGGTTTAATACTTTATTGTATGTTACATCATGTATATATACACATTATGCAATAAATGCATGCAATAAAATTATTGATTGCCTGGAAAATGTAGTCTTAAAATAAGAGCAGATTTATCAATGCTATACTCGCCCTACACTTAACGTTTCTATTATCGTAACATATTTTTCCAGCCCATGAGAATAGAGCTAGAATTTTGCCATGGCAGTGACAGCAGGTTCCAGTTGCCTGCCGTCCTAACTTGCCGTAGTGCACTCTAATTTCCAATTAGATTCAATGCAGCACTTGCCTCTTGCCATAAAAAGTTTTATTGTGTGATTCCTAGTGCTGTCTATTTATTTATGCAAAGGTCAATGTACGATACATATGCAGGGGTAGAAAATAACTTTCGAACAAGGGAGTTCAACGGACTCCCTGCCCTCAAAAAGAGGGAGTCCGCGGCAAAATGAGGGAGTCCCCAGTCTGAAGTTCAAAATTAAAGATATTAACAATAATGCATGTGCTTATTTTGAAGATTCATGCGGTTGCACGTCTGCCAAATTTTCTTTGGACATTTGCTGAAAAAATACGGTAATTCGGCGAGGCCGTGCTCTGGAACGAACTAGTTAGTATAGCAGAATTTTCAGGGAGTCCTGCATATGTCAAATCAGGGAGTCCGGCAGTAAATCAGGGAGTATTTGACTCCGGACTCCCGTTAATTTCGCACCCTGCTTATGCAAATGACTTACATGTTCATCGACCAACGGTTCATTCAGTTGGTAATT